TATTTGGCCAATTAAGTTTAACAGAGAATTGCAAGGAGACTAATTCAGCATTTTGGAACTAATACTGTTTGCCACAGTTAAAAATTTCTTTAAGCAGCTTAGTGTAACTCTATTTATACTTGCTTATGTTGGAAAAAGAAAGGTCTGGCTCATGATGAGCAAGCATAAAGAGAATACCCTTGGGTTAAAATTCAAATCACACTTCTTCCAACTTATTGGCTTATCAAGCTCTAATGTTATCCCAAGGTAATTTGATTTTGCTACACAGAGGAGATAAACTGATGAATATTCAGTAGTGTGATGATGCTGTACGCAAACCGGGGTTTTCTCTGAATAACTACAGACTCCTAACGAGCAGATGACATTCCGTCTTTTATCACAACCCAACAGGCTGGTGCCTTGCTGCGTGCAGAGACAGCATTCAACAGCTTTGCTTGCTACAGCTTCCACTTACTAGGAAGCCAGATTTCCTCTGACACTGGTGTACTTTTACTGCAGGATTTGACAGGGACCATTCAGAGTGTTGATTACTGTAATTAGAGCCAAAGTCCCTAAAAGTCTTCTTGGTGGCTGTCAAGGAAAGGGGCCCCATCTTGTGGACATTTTCCGGAGTAAGTATGGTCTGGCTGTGAAGCTGTTAACCACGGTGCTGTTAATGCAGCGCTGAAAACAAGCTGTGATAACCAACTGCAGCAGATCTCGCCTAAACCAGAGTTATGTCTGGGCTGAGAAGTGCAAAACCAGCCTCATTTTCTTCTCTCAAGGCAAACCATCCTCCACTTTTTGTAGGTATGAGGTGTCCTGCCTCAGTAGAGCTTTTAAAGGAAGACCTGAAGGACACTTTTACGTACTACTTACAAACTCTTTACCTGCTCACTGAAGAACAGGAATGAGAAAAGAGGAGGGTGAGCAGAGATGAGGTCGGGGCATTCACTACCAGCAAGGTCAACCAACCAACCCAAGGAACAATTTCTCAGGCACCCCAGAGGCCATGGCACATGTGGCCACATGCTGTGAGCAGCAGGAGAACCTGGATGCCCAGAATAGCTGGAGACACTCTGTGCCAGCCCTGATGACCCATGTCTCGGTGCCTTTGGAGAAGAGTACAAGCAGGCTTTCATGTCTCTCCTATAAAATCTGTTTACACAACGTGCAGCTGCATCCCACACATGCTATCCCACACCCACGACACCTGGATCATAGGCACAAGTGTCACCTAAAGAGGTTCCCCAATGAATGCCATTTTTTAAGAAGATGATTAGTGTTTGGGAAAACAGACAGTTTCTATCCCATTTCAAACAGGTTTTGACACCAATAATGCAAACAGCATTTTTCACTTCAGGACAAACTACAGCAGACACTGCTTTCACAGCTCCTTCAAATTCTTATTTCCAAGACCTTCATCACGCTCGTCCCTTGTCTCCTACAAAACTGACATAGCGTATGGCGCTACCTTCACAAAGCCATGACACTTTGAGAATTTTTCTGAGGTTATGTAGGCACAGGAGTGGTGCCAAGGGCCTGGAGCTCTCCTTGGCTCACATGGAAACACTGTGGGACTGGGGCCTCGATGTTTGTCAACACGAGATACAGCTGTGGGGATACTGTCTGGGGTCCCAGAGATACCTCTGGGGACGTGGGTAACAGACTTGGACTGAAAGCACCAGGTCAGGTCATCATGGGGATTTTGGGGATCAGGTCATGATGGGGATTTTGAGAATCAAAGGAAGTTGGAGACTGAAGGTGCTGTTGGAACTCTCCTTGTCCAATCTCCCATAAACAAGACCACACCACCTGAAGTTTCACTCACCCTGAAGGTCTTGAACCTCTCCAAAGAGGGAGATTCTGTCACTTCTCTGAGCACGTTGCCCCAGAGAAGTTGTAAAACATCTCAGAGCTCCATGGTTCTCCTAGTGCCTGCTGCTTCCTTACCGTCCCCTATGCTCTCCCAACATGACCTTCTCCACTGCACCTGTGGAAGGTGAAGACAGAGGCAGCCCCCCAGGCCAAAAAATCTCAAGTTCTCTCACCCCGTCTCCACGGGAAAGGTGCTCCAGCCCTCTTACCGTCTGGGTGGTCCCAAGGTTATTTTGGCCTATAACCTGCTTCTGATGCCTTCCTTCATTCCTGAAAACCATGAAGGGAGCCATTGGCTAGGTCTAGTAAATTATTTGTGTCAACACACTGCCAGCCACCATCTTCCTAGGGCAAGTCAGGAGCATTTCAGGACATGTGTGTCCTTTTTGCAGTTAATTAAGCCTGCTTAGTCCTAGGACTGTGATTTAGGCACGTCTGTATGCACCCATTTCTCAGTCATTTTGGGCACATTCATCTCCTTTGCCTTTGGAAAACATTCTGTTCCAAGTTTGTCTGGAAAATTTGTGCATCCATTTTCTATGCTGTCCCTAAGAAGTAAAAAGCAAAAGCTTAAGCACTTGAATGTAGTGAATCTAAAGGAAGACAAATCTAACAATCCCCTGCATGACTGTGGACTGTCTAAATGCAAGTATTACATAAATTAATAATGTCTTCGGTCCTAACTCTTTGTCATGCACAACAAGCCAGTAGACCAGGCTTGTTTACCAGTACTGGAAGAGCAAAGGAGCCTCAGTTCCAGCATTTTTTGGATGGCAAAGAGCAGCAAGTCACACTGATGATACATGTATTGTACTCTACCTTACAGTGTACATTTTAATGTACAGCAGTGACCTTGTTTGTGTAATTTTGTCAGTCCTTGAGTTTAAGTGATAACCAATTGTGCCATGGATTTAAAGATCCCCAATACAACTGAAAATAAAATTGGTTGTGTTCGCATACCTTAAAATGCCCTTATTTACACACATACACACACAAAAATCCTTTCTTCTTCCACCTGAAAACTCATTGACTGCAAAGCTGAACCTCAGACTTGGGAAATAAGCAGACCAGATTCCCCTATTAGTTAAAGTTCATGGATATAAATATTTTCCATCTGAAATGGTGTCACAATATAATTTTTATGACTGTTGCTCACAATTACCCAGAATGGCTTGCCATCTGCACCAAAGATAAAGGCAGCAAATAGTCTTAAGAGACACCTTCCTGGCAAGGCAGGGCAAGGCAAGGCAAGGCAAGGCAAGGCAACTGCTGCCAAATTCATTCACTGTCAGGGTTCTATTCCTTAAAGAGACAAGGGTCTCCAGATTTCTTATGGCAAAGAGGTGACATTTCTTTACACACCCACACAAGATGATTGCATATGGATCAGAATGTGTCTGGGTGTCTGGGTAATAGAGGGTGCAAGGAAAAAGGTACTGCAATGTCAGCTCTTTTGCAAGCAACAGAGTTCTAGAGGAACTCCTGCTCATATCAGAAGGAATAATTATCAAAAATTACGATCTCACACACAGAAATGGCACCTTCCCTGTAATTAAACAGGACCAGCTACTGACATATTGAATAAGGACTCTAAAATATTTAAATGCATTAATACAGCTGGGCATGCAAATGTGAGAGACTGAACACTGATGGAACTAGGAATGGTAACTATACTTGTTCTTTTCTATATCTTTTCTGTCTTTGTCTCTTTCTTCTTCTAATTCCCTCTTCTTGGAGTTTTGAATAATTTAAAATTAGATGGGTTTGGAGTTTGGTAAGTTGAATAGACAAGTGAATAACACTTTGTGAGATGTTTTATATTCATAGAATGCTGCTATAAAACTTTTGCCTTTTCTATAGTTGCCAGTGAAGGTTGTTTTTTTTTTGTTTTTGCCTCTTGATATTATCTTGCTGGTATTTCTCCCATGCATCTAACTCAGAGTACATAAAAAAGCCCTTTTAAGACGTTCATCGAGCAAGTATTGTTTAACATACTCGGTCTGTTAAGGTGTGTGGATAACCAGCATGCCGTGACCATATAGTTACACTGACAGGATAGCAATGTGTGAAACTGCCAGACTGCCTGATAGCAAAGGGAAAGTCATATTAATGTAGCTATAGCTAGCCTTAACTTATGGTAACATTAACAAGGTGACGAGGTGAGAAATTGACAGATGTAGAAAATAAAAAGGGTGATGGGTTCCTTAGAGAATCTCTGAGTAAACACTAATTTCCAAGTCATTACCAAGGCAATGGAATTCAAAAAACATACAAGGGCACAGTGTACATGGGGATGCTTTTTTTTTTTTTTATTTTTTTTTTTTTTCTAAATATATTATTGGGAGGATATGAGGGTGATAAAGAAAGAAGGGTGATAAAGAAGAACTTCAGAGACAAACAAGGATATAATGTGAAGCAAAAAATATAATCAGGATTGCCTGAGCCCTGTGCCTGATCACCACAATTTCACCATGACATCAAACCCAATGTTTCTGCAGTGTTCATGTCTGGGCTACTTCCATAGGAGGGACTGTGTTTTTATGTTTTTCCTTGATGTTGATGAAGGAATACCAGAAATACCCTTCTTAATACTGCCAAGGGAATACCTGGAGGGTGTCACTTAGCAACATCATTTCTTCCTAACTCCTTAGTATAGCCAAGTACTTGTTTCATGCTTGGGGAATTCTGCCCACTACAGCTGAGAAAAATATTTTGTAGGTAATAAAAGACAATGTCTGTATGCAAACCCAGGATACTTCCATGTGAACACCTATGACCACCAATCATCGTACCAAAATAAAGCCTGAAATTACTCAAGTAAAGTCATGATGAAGTCATGCTTACAAGCAAACAAAAATGGATAAACACTATCATGAGTATCAAGGTCATAATGTAAAATAATGAAGCAAATAAAAAGCAAGAAAACTTCAAAACACTTTTTAATGCCTAATCATCCTTTTGTCTGACTTTTATTTCACAATCTTCTGTAAATATTGTCAAAAATAATTTAAAGCTATAAATTAAAACATTCCTATTTTAGTTTATGACAACTTTCAAAATGAGATAATTTTCCCTTGACTGTTTTCTTCTCTCAAATTAAATCAGTCACTGATCTTGAAGCCTAGCATTTCTTTCTGCTATTGTCAAACAAACATTTTGATCCAATCAATCATATCCCCTCTAGCTTCTTCAATATAAGGTTTATCATCAGGTTTCATATCTTCTGGCTTCAGTTGTGCAAACCCATGAACTTGCCCAGGATAAACTTTAATTTTATAGGGAACTTTGCAATACTGTTTCAGCTTGTCCTCCAATAAGAAGATCTGTTAAAAAAAAAAAAGGCATTTTTCCATTACATTATGAGGGTTTTTTGAGTTTGCCAGATTTGCTGATTCTCATAGAGAAAATGCCTCTTTGAGTGTAAGACTGACTTTTTTTTTAAGTATGGATGAGTCTAAGAACTTCAACAGTTGCAGCAAAGATGGTTTGGTAAATCTCATTGCCATAAAGGAACAGGTTTCTGTTCAGACTCAGGCTTGTAACCTACACTTGAAGCTCTGATCTTGAGAGAGCATGGACCATAAACCTTAGTGACCACCAGTCCAAAACATTTTGATAGGCTTAGTAACAGAGTTTAAGAAGACATGGAGAGCTTTTTTTTTCTCTTTTGTTAACTGAACATTGCTATTGCACAATGTTTTGGTGATTAGTATGCATACAAAGTACTAACAATGTGTTCATGTACCTATATACATTTGCTGGCACAGTTTGTGCTTATTTCTACGGAAAGTCAGAAAATAGAAGAATGAACACTTATTTTGCCCCACAAGCTTACTTCTATCCATTGTGCAGATTAGAGAGAGAATTGTAATTTATTTCATGGGTTTTTTTGATATTTTGCTTTGGGTTTTTTTATGAAGCCCTTTTTTTTCAGTACAGAAAATTACATATTTGAGGGTTGTTTTTTGTTTAATGCAGGAATTTTTACTTATACAATCTGCACAGAAAGACAGCTTCAGGAGAAAAGGCAGTAGTTTCAATGTGTAACATGTGACAGAAAAAATTCATTTGCCAAAATTGTGCCCCTGGGAGAAAAACACATTCACCATAAAATAAGGACAGGAGGTGAAGGATTTGTTTTCCTCTGCAGAGGAGACACATATGAGGTACAGATTAATATGCTGACTAATGCAGTTAGAAGTAAATGTTGAATGACTTCTGCATTCCTAGAGCTCACTGCCAGTTCTCCAGTCACACCCTACTCTAAAACCAAGCTGTGCTACAGGTGGTGTGTTTTCCTTGTCACTAAAGAAAAAGAATTTATGCACAGAAGAGGGCACCAGTTTCCTACCCATATATTTATCCAGCCTCTCACATATGCTTACAGTAGGGGTTATATCAGAACATAGATGGCAGCCAGGAGTCAAAACATTTGAGTCTACAAGTTGTTGTTGTCTCAGCTAAAGTTCATGCCCACTCTTTTGACACAGTTCATTTGTCTTCCTGTTGCAAAAGCAGTTAGTCATGGGACCCCACCATCAGAAAGTTCCATTACTAAGCTGAAAATACTTTTTATTTCCCATTCAGTGACCAAATTCAGTGGTTCAGCTGTCCGATTTCTCACCCATAGCAGTAGCATACAAGTTTTTGAGATGCTTGGCTCATATTAAGTTGGATATCCCTGCCCAGTTTCACACTCTGCTTATCTAGACACTCAGAGACTGATGACTGTTCTTTACTGTATTTCTTACCTCAACAAAGAAGCTTTGAATAACCTAAACAAGATAGAGGGGAAGTTGAAATATAAACAGAACTATCCAACCTGCCTAATTTTTTTATATGTGAAAATGGTTTCTAACAAGGATTTCTGTGTGGGATAAATGAGCTATGGGAAAGTAAGTCTTTCCAGAAAAACAGCTTACCTGATCCAAAGAAATAGTGTGGTCTTTCTCACCAAAAATGAAAAATGTGGGATTTAGTAAACTGTATCTTTCTTCAGAGTCTCTAACTATTCCTGTAATGTTTTGAGAAACAGTCGATTAGTGAAGTCAGCATTCCTGAGAGAAAAATGGATAATTAAAAGAGAACATTTCTATTTAAGATTACTCATTAGGTACATTATTTAGATCAGGACATTGGCTATGTGGATGGAGAATAGGCATTTGGAAAGCATATTTCCCTGCTTTCCTAAAACAAGGAATGAATATTTTTTTGTTTACAGTATCCTTAATATCTTTATACCACTATAGCCTATTGCTGAAATAACCATAATTAAAATCTGCAACTCACCTTTGAGTTGAGTATTTATAGAAATTGTAACAAAGCAATAAGTAGAATTACAAACTATGCATAGTCATGTGAACCCAAGTAAGTTTTCATGTGTTCTACACTACCATAGAGGGACACCCCAGCGGCTAATTGAGGATTTTTCAGCATCAAGTGATGTACTGCCATTCCACCCCAGGAAAACCCAACGATACCAATCTTCTTTGCACCGCATTGTTCCTTTAGATACTTCAAGACAACATCAGCTTCCCTAAGACATATAAAGAAAAGTAAACTAAGGAATCTATTGCAGAGCCAGTACTTGACAATTTAAGTAAATTAAAAGACATACATGGTATCTTTTCTGTGTCTGCACCTTCAATCATTTAAAACAGAGATTACTTTAAAAAGCACATTTCAGGCTAGAGCAGTGGCTTCCATTATTAAATGAGAGTTAACATCTCTGGTCTTAGTTTAGGGAAGTACAGGTGTAGGCACTTAAATACTTACCTGAATTGTCACCTGCTCCTTTGTTTTCAAAATTAGTAAATTTTTATTTGTATCACTTTGTCTAGGACAGGACAACTAAAGACAAGACATATCTGCAAGTAGAACAACATCTTGCATTATGGACTGCAGAAATAGATAAGCTTCACTGTACTATCTCGACAGAGTTCACCTATTTAGATAAAGATTTTTCCTGTTATTCCTGTTACATGAGTTGATACTAAAATATCTTACCAAGCCCACGTGCAAGAATGTTATGCTACAATGGCAGTTACTCAAATTACATTGTCAGTAGCTACAGTGTTTAAAAAAATAACTTTTGTATGAGATGCAATGAAAAAAAGATATTTTTATTGTAGGTGATAGAGTAAATTTTTTTACAATTGCTGACTTCTGAGGTCTCAATAATTTTGTCTTCTTCATTACCTACAGAGTTTTAAATTAAGTTTATATGCAGAGTTCATAAACTATTAACTGCATTTTCAAACATTAGGTAGAGTTGTATGGTCATTCAGGTTTGGTTAGGCTGACAAAAAAGCCCAGTATGACAGTGACATGAAGAGGACATTGTGTCCTAGGCCTGTGGCCATGCTCTCTCAGATTTGGTTTGTTTGAAAGGATACTAAGAAAGCCATGGATATGCTGGGTTCCATGCTCTCTGAAAGAGCAATGGATCTGAACTGGAATGTTCACCTACAAATGATCCCTCAGAAGACAGCAAAGGCATGTCCTGAGATCTTAATTTTTTTAAGACAGTGCCCATGTATCTGCTCCTCTTCGGAGTAGGATTTTTTATAGTTGTTAGTAATCTGTGTCTTAAAAATTTTGATCACAGCTTCTGGAATTATATGGTCAAAATCTTTTCTGAGAGACATTGAAGATAGCCTGTGGCTGCTGAATGTCTGGACAGGGTCAGAAGAATACTTGTGGCTTGCAGGATGGTGGCTGAGTAATAGGGTGTCACCATTGCCTCACTATCATCTGAAGTGATGATAGTGTGGTGAGAGATGCTGAAATGCCTCCCATAATTCAGGGAAGCCTTGTTACAGGCACTGTTAAATTATACAGATAATGATCCCTCTATTTCACACTGAAAAAATAGTTGATCAGATGTATCTTAGGTTGTGGTCAGTCTTGCAAATTTTTATGCAGTGCTGCTCAGGAGAGTCTCGTCAGTACCTATCATAATCTGCAAGGCAGAAAGCAAGATGGGCATGTGGCAACTGGCAGATAATATCTGCAGCTGTAGAAGAATTTTCCTCTTTATCTTGATGACTGAGTGCAGAATCAGCACTTGTGGGTGAGAGTGCTGGGTAGCCTGTGAAACACTGTGAGCCTGTGTGGCCAGTATAACATAGTCAGAAAAGGGCTCAGGAAAACAAGATGGGAACAATAAGCAGAGTGATGGGCAGAGCAGATGATCTTTTTCAAATCCCAGCCAAGACAGTGCCCAGAACCACAGAAGAATCACCAAGAACAAGAAACTGTGGTTGTGCAGCCAGCTTGCCCTGCTGTGAGGTGCCATTTCTAACATTTCATATAAATTCTCCTTGTTTGCTAGACGCTTTTCAAAGTTCAAGTACAAATATGTATCTTACTTGTCTACTTTCATAGGATCATGATTTTTCATCCAGTCGGGAAAGTCAGCCCAGTGATCAGTAGATGTCCAGGGTTTTGTCCCCTTGAAGAAGTCTGGGCAGATGGTTCTGTGTGAGATATGGAATTCTGTCAATTTTCATTAAAACTGTGAATGTCTAAATGTCTCTTAATATCTTCTAGTCCAGAGTGCACATCTACATGATCACTGTCGTCCTATTCTGGTAATCAGCTAGCTAAAAATATATGCCTTTTTATGGAAAACAAAGACACAAATTGTTTCCTTATTATTTCCTTAGACACACTTAATACAAAAATAAAGGGATTAAACAAACCTCCTGATCCTATATAAACACATAGGTATGTCTTTGCTGTTACAAGCTAAAGCAAGTGTTCAAAAGGTTTGGTTCTGAAAAGCTTATACAACTTAAAATATATACCACTGTTTCTCTTTGGATCACCCATGCTGCTTCTTAAGCACAAACATGGGCACTTCAAGACTCCATGTGCCTTTGTGCTCAGCTAGCCATTTTTCCTGGGTCAGTTTTAGCACCTTTGGTGGCTCCATGGAAATATTTTGTCCATTTTCCTTTTTATTTGCTCAGACTGAAGTGGTATGGTTGTCTTATGTCTGTTGGGAACATCATATGCTATGCCTAGCTTTGGGCTTGGTGATCTATCAGTGCATTTAAGGGGAAGACAGGAAAGAAAGTTGCTTACATATATCCATGACCTGCTATCAAATCGACTATGTATCTAATGTCTGGGAACTGCCATCCAAATACATCATGAACCACAATCACAGCTTTGTCCGTGGAAAAAGATGGTCTACAAACATATGCCTTAAGGTACTCAATTTGTACTTCATGGCCAAGGCACCCATAGTGAGACCTTTCTCCAGTATTGTATAGAAAAGGATCAGCCATTTGAAAACCTAAAAAAAAAAAAAAAAAAAGAATAAGAATAAAAATATAGCAAGAATGTGAAAATAATTTGTTAACAAAAATCATTTAGGGCAAAAAGGCAAATAGGGTCTTCCAAAAGTAGTTTAGTAACTTCTGTAAATAACATTGATATCCTTGTATGAAGAGAGAAAGTAGAAAAAAGCAAAAGCAATGTTCCAGTGCAGAATGCCTCTTAGCCTATTCTGTTATTAAGCTGAGAATAAAGAGAAATACCAAAATCAAAGTTATCAAACTACAAACAACCTGGACATGTAGATCCCGACACTCATGTCACATTTGTTTTGCTGCCATGTGGCTCTGTCAGTGCTGGTGTGAAGCACTATGGCTCCCGAAGTCACTCTCTCCTGAGGCATGGGGCTGTCATCCATGTCCTCATGGGGAATCCTGTGCTGGCTCTTCTGAACTATTTGCAAGGACCACAGCATTCAACTTCTGCATTGAAGTGTAATGTTCAGTGCTTCTCTTGGTGCTGGTGCCTGGTAGCTCATGTGGGCTTTCTGTAGCAGCATCACAGCTCTTCTGAGAGCAGGAGTACTGGGCGCAGTTAGCAAAGAGCTGCAGTATGGATTTGTAAACTAGATTCCAATACCATGTGCCCCTATGCCCTTGAGAGGGGTTACAAGAAAACAAGCTTATGTGCAAGCCTCATTCAGAATATTTGAGAGTATATGGTTTTGTCCCTTCTGCAAAAGTAGCAATTAGAGACAATGAGCCAGTAGATGTGCTAGACAGATTAAAGTCAAAAGTTGTTCTGACTCTCTGTGTCAGGAGCTTGGAATGGACTCTGTGCAAAAAGTAGATTGTGATCCTGTAATTAAAAGTGGTGTTACAATGCATCTATACAAGGAATCCAATTAAGTCTGCAGGGGCAGTGATAATAGTAGCACTTCCTAGCCATGTACTGACTTTGTACTGACTTTGAAACTGTCCTTGGGCGTGCAGTACACAGGCACTTACACTACGACTGTCTCCACTTCATCATTTCTACATCAACCTATTATTTTAGTTTGCGTTGTAACATGTACTTCATAAAATTATCTAATCTTCATGGAAGGGCAGCAATTTCCCTTAAAAATACATGTCTTCCTCAGTCCTCCATTAACTAGAGCAGCAGAGGGCTACATTTCACAGAGTAATGGGAAATTTTGCCTAGGTAATAGGAACACATTTGGAACCATGGTACAGACAGATTGAAGAACAGAGAGTTGATGCCACAGAGACTCACTGCTTGCTTATGCCCTGCATAACACTTCCCAGTTTGTATGATTCATTCTGGCTCAATAAAAGGATCCATATTTTATATGCATTTAGACTCCTTTATACCCAAGATAACCCAAATTTTATATGCATTTAAACTTATTAAATGCTCCCCAATGCATAGTGCAGAGACACTGTTCTTCCACATCCTCTCCCAAGCCTGGGGCTGCTGTCACCAGATCTGGCAGGGCCAGGACTGAGTTTGAACAAATATGCTTGATTACAACCATAACCCTGGCTGATAGTGATGTAGACATACAGGAGCTGGGCAGACATGGCTTTATTCTCTAATCAAGCTCATTCAGATAAATCCATGAGATGGATGATCTCTCATCATACAGTAATCCCCTGTGCTGATAACCGAGAATTGATTACATGTGTAATTTTCATCCCACCTTTCTCAACATCTGTCAGGCTTGGTTCTAGGAAGCACGAAGTAGCCTGATCTTCAGGATTAAGACCTCCATTGTTTTGGCATTATATGAAAGTGAAAGGCTTGTCACACATGGGAGATTATCTCCTAATTTAAGCCCCACCATAATGCTTGAAATGCCTGAAAATGCTAGAGAGAGGTCTGTTCATACAGAAGTGCTTCCTACCTCTCTTTTTTATAACCTAAGATGAATGAGCTTGTTGAAGTACAAGAGGCTGCCTGGAGAAGCCACAGGTACTCCCAAAGATAGCTAACACTGCTGTCTTCTGAGATGGCAGCCACAGTCTTACTCCACTGTGGTGTTTTGTTCAGAAGGGTACAGCCTGTGTCCCCTTCAAGGAAGTGCTGCTTAGGAGGCACTAAGCTCTGCAGTAGTTGTGAATCAGCCTACTCCCTATCCATTGGTTGCTTCCCAGAAACCATTTCTTTTGCCTGTGCTGACTGAGGCCAGGCCAGCTGGCTCTTTTCCAGGCGGCAGAGAACGTTAGTAAATAGTCAGCCACACCTGAACTGCTTAGAAGTTTGATGGGATCCTGTTCAGTCAGAAGATTTATTTACTCCCGCCTGCTTTGTCCCACGCAATGTGGCGTGGCAAAGCAACACGCCAGGATATTTCCTACTTTTCCAGTCTCACCTCATTCCCTCTTCCCACCAATTTCATCCATTACACTTTTCCTTTTCCTGCTTTCCCCATGGCACAGTTCCAAGCAGGCAGCATCTCGCCTTTATGTTCCGCTCCGCATCACTGTGCTGCAGCACAGAGGAGATGCAGGAGATGCTGGGAACAGGGGGAGAAGTTACTGTTGCTAATGGGGAAAAACACAGATATTGATGAGTCTTGTAACATCCTACTGCTCCTTAAGAGAAAGGCTTCTTAGACCTTCTCCTTCTCTCCAGTGGTCCTGCCCTTCCTTGGATGTCTTGATATCATTCAGCTTTCATGCAAGTAACTTAAAAACTGAGGAGAGTTATTTATACAACACAGAGGTGGGCTCCACAAAAGGTGGTAGGACAGACCTGAACTACTGCATTTCTAGGAGCAGCAAATCACGTAGTTATATTCTGGTGAGTCTTAGTTTTCATCAGGAAAAAACAAGTCTCTACTTGAAAAGTGAGGTTAATAATATTTTAAAACACAATCAGGTTAAACAGAGGCAAAGATCCTGCTAAGGACAATCTCCACTTCTCAGAAAGTGAGTATGAGCACGTGATCTTGAAGTGCTGTGCTGTTTGGCAGGACCTTGGACTACTGATGCCAAGATGTGACATCTCTGCCCTTTTCCCGGGTCGAGTGATAACATTTTAAGCTACAGCAGCATTTCATTTCAATGCTAAGAGGTTAATGGACCAAACAAGGAAAAGAATGGAAATTCATTACCATAAAGGTGAAAAAAATATTCTAGTCCTTTAATGTGAACTTGATACTTGATGAACATAAATTATCAGTGTCCTCAGAACTATTGCTGTACCAGAGTTTGTAGCAAAGACTTGAAATGAAACTTAGTCTTTCTCAAAGCTGATAGCCTTTATCTTCATCTTATCTGCCCCTTGATACTTGTTTTTGTGCATTTTTTTACTGAAACCAAAATAATAGTCTCTCTTTAAAGGCATAGGTTTTGCTGATTGTTTCATGCCTTTTGAAAAAGCTGTATCTACTTGCCTAGCAATTTCAGATTTTCCCTTTCAGCACAGGTAAAAGTAGTTATCCTTTTCTGCTGTCAACTCAATCTGCATGGACCAGTTTGCCCTCACATACCTGGAGTGCAGGATCCTGTTTCAGCCCAGCTCACTTCTTCTGCTCAGTGAGACACCAGCTAGATTTCTCTAAAGAGAAAAAGAAGAAAACCAGTTCTTGCTGACAGTTTTGCTCCTGGTGCTGCCCATCCAGTTTTCAGGTGCTCTTCAACTCTTCTGCAGATTTTGGGATTGGGAAGTGAGGAGGAGAGGCTTCACTCAAGAGTCATCCCGAACGGAAGGGGTGGGGACAGATCATGCAGAGAGGCAGTCTGCAGCGGGCTCCAAATCAGTTGCCTTTACTCCACCTTTCATTTATTTGTTATCTAAGGAGTTTAGAAGGAAAGATGCACCCAAACACTGTAACACACTTTGATGTGAGTGATGCAGACATTTAAGACACTGCAGAGGTTTTAGACTTCAGTACTTATAACTGAGACATTTAGCATCAGTGGTGTGTTTGCTGATGCATTTTCTTGAAGAATATTCATATACGTTCTTGACTATAATAAATGTCCTTAATGAAATTTGAGGTGAATTAAGATGAATCTGTCCTGGCAAACTTGCAGCTTAAAAAACTTACTAAGTCTCCGTAGCACACACATTCAACATATTACAACCACACCCATAAGTATTCTCAACAAGTCGAAAAGTGTTCCAGGTTATTTGTGATTAGACTTGCATTTGACAAGCGAGAAAGACTGGAGTCTGTTGTGCCTTATTGAAATTTTCCATTCCTATTTCCACAACAGCACTGTATGCAAGGAACATTAACTGAGCCCTCGGTCTGACATACACTCATTTTCTCTGTTGTACACATGGTCTGGGTGTGTGTGCATGTTGGACGGTGGGGGGGTATGCAAACGAGAGAGACAAAAGAGCTCAAAGAAAATGATAATGTAATTTCGTGGCAGAGGTCAGTAAAGAAATTTTTATTCTTGGTGCATAAGACAAACAAGTTCCCCAGTCACCCAGCAGATGCTCAGGAGTACTCTGTGAGGTAGGGACCATAATCTGAGGACTATGTTAAATAGGTGATAGATGGACTTAGTTCGCCAAACTTCAGACATTTACAATGATGATGTCTTCATGTCAGCAAGGTGTCTACACTCCCACAATGTCATCAATATTTAGAGTATGACTCACACTCCATGGGTGTCTTTTTTTGAATAAAAATAGGTAGTCCCCTAGATGACCCAACTAGTGCAATAAAATTGCTGTGCTGAGTGCCTAATAACCCAGACAAAAAGAGTCCTACCTCTCTGTGCTCTGGCAGATGCACACAACTCAAAATTAAGGTTTGTCATGACCAGAAAGAGGGTGTTTGTCCTGTTACACCTGTCAGTGGATTTGCACATCAGGATTGTACAAGAAACCATTAAAAAGATTGCTTGTGTTGCAAGGGAGGGAGTGGGGAGTCTTGACTGAAAAGATCCGGTTTGTACTTTGATATTAATGGCATCTTGCTTGACCTTGTGTAACCCCTCCCAGGTGGGTGTCTTGTACTTAGATCCAGAAGACTGAAGTATTGTCTTCCTACCTTGTCCCCACAGAAGGTGGATTCATCCAAGCTGCAGTCCCCTGGAACAGACTGGGCCAGCAGAAGCGTGTACCTGATCCCACATGCATCTCATGACTGCAAACCCTGTCCTGGTGCCCAGCCTTGGGGGTGGGTTAGGGTAAAAGGAGAGCAAAGGACTCACTCTGCTCTAATGCAAGCCTTTGCCTGCACATGGCGTTTATGTTTGACCTGCAAACCCTGTATCATTCAGATCTCCCATACTTGATGAGACTGTCTTTTTCCCTGTGTGATACAATCACCTATGTAATGGACTCCGGATTATGCAGATCATTGCATACATGAACTTCCTACAGTCTCAAGGAACTTATGTATTTAATTTTTTATGCCTGCTGTGAACATTTCTATTTTTAGGGTTAAAAAAATAAAAAGAAAGAAGACACATAACTGAGTTGGAATGAGCACAACAGATTAACTTGTTCAAACACACAGTGGTGGAATTTCTCATTCACCTGAGACACACAGCTGGTTTTTGGCTGGTTTGACTTCTTTTGCTCCTTAAGGCTTGCACCAATACTTCTCCATCTGCTCCTCCTGGTTTTACAGAAATGGGCATAGAATAAAGCCCAAAAGTTAATCCTCTCAGCTGTTGGCTGCAATTTTAATTGTATGTCAATAAAAGAAACAAGATCCTCGGGCATGCAAGCCTGCTGCCCTGAGGCAAAATAGAAAGGTATTCTCTCTCAGATGACTACTGGTATCTAAAAACCCAGATAGACAGGTACTCTGGTGGCATCTAGTGCAGAAGTGAAACACTCAGATGTAGAAACCAATGAGCAGGCTTAAACATGCCCAATCTACAGTCACCCCATACAGTATTTGGCGTGCTGCTAGTAACAACAGACTTGCCAGGAAGTTGAAATCATTACAAATGTTGTATTTATGTTGTGAAAAAACCCGTTCAAAACAACTCTGTTGAGTGACAGGATTGCAGCCTAGAAGCTGCAGACGAGGCAAGAGGGACAGCAGGGCTCCTCTCTTCTCTTACCCTGTGCCAGCCAGCAACAGCAGGTACCCTGTGAGGAACCACTGGGGAGGTTCCTGGGAAGGACCACAGCAGAAGTACAGTGGGATAGAGTCAAAATGCAGCTCTGGGGAGCCAGCTGTAATGACACTGGTGACTCTGTACCCAAGATCTGCCTTCATAGCAAGAGAGATCCTTTGGGATTTGAGTCTCTTCAAGAGGGGAGCATAGCTATTCCTTCTAATAAAGCTTCACTGGAAGAATAGCCTTACTAGTGAGTTTGTAATTTGGAGCATCCAATTTGTAAATTGGATGCTTTTTCTTTTCTGTATGTTAACCCAATTCCTTTCCCTCCATCCAGTAAAATGGTTTGTATCCTAAGATATCTACTGAGTCATCACATGGGAAGGTAGAAATACTTTTTAACAAATCTGCTTTAATACTCCAGGCTTCTTTCTTGGATGCCCAGTCAGTGTTTGAATAAAGACCCTTGGAAATCAGGACAGCTCTTTTATTGCAAATCAAGGCTTGGCAGGAGGTTTACATGTACTTTCTTTATCATCAGTGAGAATTAGTCTTGCACTTACAATTTTGCTTTTTACCATTTACCTAGCATGGTACTCTGAAGTTGGCAGCTGCCTTAGCCTGGAGCACTACAAAAATTCTCCAAGAAATCCTCTGATTTGGTTAGTAGTGAGCTATATCCCCACTCTTTCCCATGCTTTCCAATGTGCTTAAGAAGAAAGGCTCCGAAGTCTGTCCTCTGTGGGAGTGAGTGACCTTATCTGCTCCATCTGATGCATCGTTGGCAGGCATGACCATGTTCCCTGCACTGATCAGAGCATCCGCTGCTCCTCACAGGGCTCCAGGACCAGGGTGATTGCTGCTTCTTCACCATAAATCTTTGCATCTCTCACCATGCTTCCACTCCCTTGGGATTTTATTTGCTGCTAAAAACTAATAGGTTCAATCTGTCATCATCTCTCCTTTTGGCCATCTCCCCATTGCATCCACCCCTTCTTCCTCCTGTTCCACTCTGTTCCATTTATGTAAGTTATTTGAAGCCACTGGTTTCAGTTGGTTTCTGGTTATCCCTTTCAATGTTCCAGGGTTTTTCTGGGGTAGGCTAGGGTCAGCTCTCAAAGCATACAAGCACTTGTCTATTTAAAATCAATATTATGACTTTCACCACAGGATGATCTGGAAATTATAGTTTTCCATAGGTATGTTGCTAGTTTGTGGTGTAGAATTGGTTGACCCAACAGCTTCTGGGTTTCTTAAGCCTGTCTTGGACAAATTTTTACTGAAAAATAAACTGTTAATGTTTATTCTCAAATTTTCTGGTTTTCCTAAAAGAGTTTGTGGGATTACAGAGGGTGTGCTTTGTCAACTTTATAGAAATTGGGTGGAGTACTTTAATTATGCCAAGCAATAACAGGAAATCTATTCTAATGTTGTGGGTGACATGCAAAAAGGGGTATTAAAATCACTTATCACTGTACAGGTGTTTCTAGGTTATTCAGTTGCTCTTCACTTTATTAAGTTGCACTTTCAATGGATTTTCAGTACGAAGCAAATTATTCCAACTAATAATGAATATTAATAACAGTATACAGGAATAATACTACATTCTGGAGCAATGGCTCAAAAACAGGTACCCCAGAACAAAAGTGGCATCTGGTTTTCACTGAACATTATAAATGCAGACATGAGCAAGACAATAGAATTAAGAGTACATGGACAGCATGGAATAAGGACTGATTTCCTCCTCTAAAACACTAAACATCTATTTTGTGCATGATTTAAAAATATGTCTATTGTCTTTCTCTTAGCAAATATTTTGTCTTCTCCTTTAAAATTTAAAATCCAGTAATTATTAAAAAACATTTCTTTTTTTTTCCAGTTATCCACCACTCAGAGTATTACTTTTAATGATTAATTAATTCAATGTGTTTAGTCTTTGAAACAGAATTTTATACCCAGATTTTTTTTCCCATAAAAAGAGATATGTTTGATCAGTTTTATTCTAGGGCATAGATCCTTTTACCTTTTTTTTTTTTTTCCCTGTTCCTTTGTTTGGTATGTGTTGTCTCATACAAAACTCATCTAATGTTCATTTTATATTTCAGGAACTTTCTGGGATTAATCAGCTGGAAGGGAGTGATTTTGTTTCCTTGTAATTGAGGCCATATTTGCATGGACATGTAAATACTGTTTCGGTCTTCAGTACAAATAAGCTGTCCTGGACAAAAAGCTGCACCTTGTGCCCACAGAATTTATCTTAATTTTCAGAAGAGGCAGCTTTCATGTGTAGAAACCTGGCTTCTCCACAGTAAACTCCCAATGTGCACCTGAACAGTTTCATTTGCCTGAGATTTTCCAAGAAATCCTTTCCAAAGCCAAGAGGACCCCAAAATTTCCACCTGCATATGATCCCCTACAGGTTATATATTTTTCAGATTAACCATGAGGGTTTTTTTTTCCTAACTGGAGAAGGGGAAACAATCAGGAACACTGATTGTTCAACAATCAGTGATAGCTACTATCACTGAATAT